AAATCGCACATAGACAAGATAGTGTACCAATACAAGTTAAAAGTATGTTTATTGCAGGTTCTAATAATAATAACAAACAAGGGTCGGTTTTATTATGATATTATAGTTAAATATTATTATTCTTAAATGAGAAACCTAAAACAGCGGTATAAACCGGACACGAATTTAGTATTTAATTGGTATTATTAACAATATAAACGTTTTCTTCAACAACAGCTAATACAATGCAACCGTCAAACTATAATACCAAACAAACCCAACCGGAACCTGGAATATTAGGACATAAACATGCGGAAAGGCTTAATTTTCAGCGGATTTAAAATCTTCGGAGTCGTTATTAACCGCAGTAATAGCAGAAATAAAGTTTCCGCATAAAAAGTACTGATACCGTAATAACCAAATTCAAATATTATATGAAGGTCGCCGTAATAACCAAATTCAAATATTATATGAAGGTCGCCTATCTGATTATTTGACACTTGAAATTAAACTCTTGGCCTCGTCTGAGAACGAGTTTCTCACTTGTATCATATGACAATTGATCGGTAATATCAAACTCGTTTGTACGTGGAGAAGATGTTATGCTACCAAAGGGGTTTATCAGGCTCTGAACATATGAGTATACTGGTAAACGTATTTATATTATTAGTGTGAAAAAAAGAGACTGAAATATGCGTTTTTCAATTTTCCCTCATTGAACAATTGTTATATATACTCTAGAATACAAAACGCTCTCATAAAACAATAGTACAGAGTTGCTATCAAAATATCTTCACGAATATATTCAAATAGATAAATACAGAATCCCTAAAGAAAGCCCAATACGGCAAAATTGAAAATGTTGCAGGCTCGGTTTGATTGAGCCTGTTCATGGACGGTACTGGAAAGTGCAAATTACCGTCCACGCCCCCTAGCACCGGCTTAAGCAGAATTCAACATTTAAACGTGAAATAGTAAAATTTTGAATTTAGAAACATCCGCAGATGTGTTCATACGGCGGTTATCATGGAACCTTCAATGTGACACTTCCGTGCCATTCCATGAAAAGCGGCGTATGGTCCCCAAGTAATAAAAAGCGTGTGCCCTAAACGAGAAAACAATGGGCGGAACTAAATAAAATGGAATTTTGAAAGGGGATCAGCCTGAATTCAAGCCTGAATACACAATTGGCTTATGCCGGTGAAAATTTCTAGTAACTGATAAGAAAATTTTCAATAGAGGCATATAACATTCATACTGAATCATATAAAAGGTAGATGAATCTCCAAGGGATAAAGATTATAAATGCGCATTGAAATGATCAAATATGTTATTTAAAATTTATTTCGCTGTCTACTTTAAAGGATGTTAAAGGTAATAAAATCCTATAAAGTTTTATTTCCCTATGTTGTAAAATGAAATTTATATGCCTTTTCATTCGTATTTCTGTATTATTTATAAATGTATATGTGGTAGTTTACTTTGACAATTGTTGATGTGAAACCACGCGATACCATCGATTTTATACCTTGAAAGTATGTATACGGTATAACAAGCGTCAGTGATGACAATTTGTTGCATTTTCGACAGAAATCAAGTAAACTATTTGTAAGTTATGTTTGTTTCTTTAATTGATTGGGTTTAACGTCACACCAACACAGTTAAGGTCATATGGTGACCTGCCAGCTTTTCTGCTAGAGGAAGACCTCCGGTGCCATTCCGTGCATTATTTTCAGGCACGAACGGGCACCTGAATAAAACCACCGATGTTCCGTAGGCTAGTTACTCCAAATCCCTCCAGGGGTGTGCACGTCGATTTTTTATTGACTACGACCAGATTGGACTTTAAATAGAGAAATTAACATGAAGAAATTTAACATCTCATTTTTGTTTTGTATGTAAGTCTGTTCCGTTATGTCAATCACTTTTAAATTCATGGAAAAAGTGTTGCTCAAACAAATTGATAGTAACGCCAGTTATTGGCCTGTTGGTTCATAGCAATTATATCATAGTATCAATGTTCTTATCATTGCGGTGGAACTTTTACCTATTATTGTGGAGTAAGTAAAATTTTGAATGGAGAAATGTGCAATAAATAACAAAATGCAACAATTATAAATATTCTATGATGTATGGTTATTGAAAATGTGTCTGATTCTATTTTACATACGGAAAATATGATACTTCATTGCGCATGTGTAAATCATATTCATTAGAATGATATGATTCACGCACGCGCATTTAATTGTCTTGGCTTGTTATTGAAAATGATTCTATTTTTAGATGTAGAAAATTCATTTCAGCCGGTGAATATACTACACCCAGGTAATATATGAGTTATGATTATTTTGTCCTGTTGACAACTGTATGAACCAATGATATTGCAGCTAGTTTAACATCATTTATTATTTTTAAACAATTAATATATTGAGATTTTCAAATGTGATAAATCAAAACATGCTTAAACTCGTATACATATCAAATCGTTCGACAAACAAAACCGGTTTTGTCTACAAAAAACGCTCGCTTGAAATAGCTCGCTACTTTCCGACCGAAATTTGACATCTCAGATCTTAATGATATTATGCATGCAAACATGGAGATATGCACGCGCCCCCTATCGGCAGCTTCGGAATTGCGACTGTTTTATCGATAAAACGGCCTGTTTTTATAATTTCTTATCCGATTTACTCCGTTTAAATTGTATTATGTTCAGTAGATGTATGCCTTAACATTAATGTCTGTACTTATACTACGATTCTATGGCTATAATTTCTCACCGTTTTGACTTACAAATCCGTTGAAAATAGTGCACGTCACCGCAGTGACAAATGTGAAATAAAAAACATTCGAAACGGTAGATACAATTTATTTATCAACTAAAATTCAAAATATTTTAATGTGATATTTACACAAAAAATGGATTATAACACGGTTTAACTGTTGTGGGCTCATTTCTCGCTCGAAAATTCTTCACGCGACAAAATTGATAATATTGCAAGCTCTGACTGATTGATGCAAGTCATAAAAACTTCAACGTTGTAGATATTTAAAATGTTTAAGTAAGGATTTGTAACACACCAACAAGCGCTCACCGTCGTGATCAAGGAACCTTCAATTGAAAAAATCATGCAATTACGTGCCGTTCCCAAATAAAGGTTTGTATATATGTCAAAAACAAAATAAAAATTGAACAGCGATCTTTCAACAAAATATTTGCTATTTCATTCTTACTTCAAAAATGTCCACATGTACATGTAAAACATTTTACCTGTATCAAAAGCCTGGTATGACACATTAGCATGTCATTAAAGTAATGGATGTGAATGTTGTACAACCTGTTTCAAATATGTAAAACATTTCTGACATGGTGTTTTCATTTCCTTTCAATATCGAGCCTGTTGAAAGAGATGTATTTAAAGTATTACATGGAATAGCAGTAATTTGTTATGAAGGTCCATGATTCATATCTGCAGATGCTTCTTAAATTCCAAAATTTACCTTTTCAAGTTAAATGATGAATTCTGTTTAATCTGGTGTTCGGGGTGGATTGGGGGCGTGGACGCACCTTCTGTTTACACAAAGTACAAATGTAAGATTTATTGGATACTAGCACGCAACACACGTCATCATTTAGAATAACATGTTCATTATTTTGAATCTATCCAGGGGATATTAAACAACTGTTTTACGGACACAACTCTCTATGAAATGTTACGGAAAACGTAATTCACGTTTTTGACATTAGAGCTATTACATTTGACGTACCTTTATTATTAATTAAGAGTGATAGCTGAAGACCTGATTCTTGCATCTGACAGACATCATGAATAACAACAAGTTCTTTAATATCTTTCCAGGAATGAAAATTATAGACCGGACATAACTATCTATGAAATTTTATAAGAAAAAAGTCGTATTATGATTTTGGTGGAGCAAGAATCGTGGCTATGTCCAACATACGAGTATTCATGCATAGTTATTAAATACTTTATGAATGAAAGAACATGAACACCAATGCATTTCTATTTAAATGTTCTTTATATCCCGACATGTTACAGTTTTTATTTTGTCTTATGCGTGGGGAGGAAGGAAAGAACAATGGATATTAAATCATTTAGGTTTATGGTATGGATGTATTTAGCTTGATGTGGCATTTCTATGCATTATTCATACCTTCAATTTGCACCTTACACTTAGACAATTAAAGGTAGTGGAACATTCGGCAAATGCACACTTGCCTCATAAATTCAATGCATGTAACATGTGCGTAGTAAAACATTTAAAATAATTTCCAGAAGCCATGCGAACGTTTTCCTTGTCAGAAAATATTAAGAATATTATTTATTCATATATCATAATTTGGCCAATAACCATTAATTACAAACCATATCAAGATTAAAGCATGTCATGTCATCTGGTGCTCTTTGCAGCAGCAAAGCATAAATTAATGTCAAAGATTTTATTATTGAAACATGCTAATTGTGGTGACACTTTTTGGGTCTTTTTATTTTTGTTCTCATCGGTAAGAGTCCTCTGTGTTTTTTTTTCGTCTTATATGTGACCGATTCTCAAGCCTTGTAATTTTATGAGTATAACATGATTTTGAAGAGGGAAATCGAAAAATTAGTAAGATGTTATATTCTTGAGGACTGCTGATTTAAAATTGATCTTTGAACTGTTGGACATATTTTTTCCCTTATTTTGCAATGTTATCAATAGGACTCATTTCACACTTAAGAAAGTTGTTCCTTGTCATTATTTACATCTTCTACCACAAGGTCCATATCTTTTACATTGATATTTAAAAATGATATTCCTTTCAGATTTAGAATTTTGCTAATTTTACTCTTTCTTCTTTGTCATTTAAAGGATGAATTTCAACTTTTACAAACATGTTCCTTGTTATATTACACTTACATTTTAATTTACAAGATTCATAAATCTAGCATCTTTATTTCAACATTTTCTTGATTTTTAATAACCCATCTGCGTTTGTATTTCAAGAGTTTACTTCAAACTTTAAGTATAATATTTTAATCATCAATTATGAGGGGACAAGTCGGTATCTTGCACGGATATTGATCATGACCAGTACGTTATCTATGAAAGTTGGATATGTGGACGGATCATCGAAACATGACAAATTAAAGTTGTTAAACTCGAAGAAAAATAGACAAACAAACATATAAACAATATTATTATCAAGTTGCATTACTCCAGCATCTTCATACTGAAGACTATTTTGTGATACAATCGTTGTCTTAAAATTATGCATTACTTAAGTAAAAACTCCGTTATATAAATTGTTTGCTTCCGTTCTGACTATGCCTTTCTGTAAATCTGTAAAAAGTAATAAAATTAAATTGTATTAATATGCAACAATTTAAATGAAAAAAGTAATCACTAATGTTTATCAAATCAAACTACCAGAGAAAACAGCACATGCTAATAGATCTTTTAAGACAATTGTTACATCTTTTTATGAATACTAGTATTCATACTAGGCAGATTTAAAACTGTTTAACATTACATATTCTAAGAATAAACAAACATTTAATGCTATCAGCCCTTGAATTTATTGTTTCTTATTTCCCTAAACTTTTTTCAATGTTTAGATTTATCTTTATTGAAACATTTGAATAATTATCCTCCTTTGGAACTTGGCAGCGTGGTCGGGTGACTTAAGAATCATACTAGTTATCTTAGGGGTGTGGCCGCGTGAGCTATATACTTTTATAAACTAAACAACTAAACTAAAAAGTAGCAAAATGTTTATTGTAATCACTTTGAAATTTGTATTGTTACTACACATTTAATAGAAAAATCATAAAACTAAAGGAAACACACTTCTTTTAGGACTTACGTTTTTGTTAAACGACATAAAGTAAGAAAACAAATGAAGTTCAAGGAAATATAACTTAAATTAAGGGTTAAATCAATGTATTTTACAATCTTGTGATTGTGTTTTACGCATTAACTAAGATAACCTCTTAAGAAATAGATATATTAAGATAACCTCTTAAGATAAAGATATGAAATGAATTGTTTGAAATAGCTTTATTACCAATAGACTTCCACTTCACAAAGGTGCAACCATGTTTCAATGTCTCTGAGTGTAACTCTAACATATTGAGCTTCTACAGGTCCGAACGTAAAGGATCTAAATGGACCCATTGCACCAGGTTGATATGTTACCACTGTCCATGAACCGTAAGTTACTGCTACAGAGATCTCGACATTTTGCGCTCTGTCCGCTACAAAATAATTTTCATATCTCCAGAACAATGAGAACAGCAATATAAGTGAAAACAATTTCTATTTTCGGATTTATTATATTTGCTTATTTAGTTTCACTAGACTGTGATTTCTTAAAGCTATTTGGTGTAATTGTACGACGATGATTTGAAACGAAACAAAAGACATAATCTGACTTTAAACAGATACCATATTACATAACAAACAAAAGTATGATCCACAGGAAGCAAACAATAACATTTTCTTCCTTTGTGTCAGTTGTGAATAAGCTGGCCTACAAAATTTCATTCTGTCACTGAGAAAGATGTTCTGTCAGTGAAAGCTACTTACAACAACAATCCATTCTGTTTTGTACGTCAACTTTACTAATGCAATATACGTCCAGAAGATCGACTTCCCACCAGGGATTTAGTTCATATTTGGAATATTGACAATGGTTATGGTATAGATCACCATCATTGTTACCATCATTTGCTTTTTCAGCGTACCATTTTGCAAGATAAAAGTTGATCTGATCTGACGGTTTGTTAAGAGCCTTATTAACGAGAGCTGAAGTAAACAAATGTCCTATTTACAAAATTAATTTTGATCTTTAAATACAGCCGAATAGTTCATTGGTAAAGTTAAACTTTCTACCAATTCAATGTTCTTTTAAACGATCAAAATTATTTACCCTTCATGTTAAAAGTTTAAAGAAATTTACATTACTAAGGAAAAATTATTTTTGTCAATATTTAAACAATGAACTATATGTATATTTTTACGATTATAAGGCACGCAAGTTTCGCAATATTGTCCTGTAAATTGTCCTGTACAAATACAGGTGACCTCGTCTACCCCATCGATACATGACCCGTTATTCGCACAAGGCATAGATACACAATCATCAATAACTGTAAAACAAGAAAATAAAATTATTATATTCCGAGCTTTCTTCATATTTATTAATAGTACGGAACACTCCATGTTAAAACTTTATAGGTAAATCAAATGTTGCACTGATAATTTGAGAAAAGTGAGAAATAAATGTCGCAATAGCTCAATAGGTAGAGTAATAAACTTTGAAGGAACCCACTTTATGTTTTTTGCTCCCATATGATTTCCAAAAAACAACATTATCATAATGCGTTTTTTAATTTCATCTCATTTAGTTTTTATCATTGCACTTTTGAAACTCAGTATCTTCATCTAGTTTCTATCCTCATTTCATTTTTTTCCATTTCTTATCATTAATGTATGAATATTTTCACAAATTTTAGGAGAGACAAAAGTACAAGCTTTAAGTTCATATGCGTTATGACAGATTTATTTTGTCTCAGAAGTAAGCAATATAATACAGAATAAAAACTTGAAAATAAGAATAAAATTAAACAGTTTCCACCAGATTTCGAAATCACTAGTTGAATTCATTTTCATATTAAGAAGCTGTCTTACTTACTGGGCTATAGTGTCAAACGGAGATATCCTATCATTAAAAATAATGCGTATCAGCTTAATTGTAATAATCTGGTTAATCACTGGCAGTTTACCTATGTTTACATGTGTTTATCTTTAAAAGGACTGCTTGTATATTAAGAACTGACGAAAATTCTGTTTAAGGTGCTCGGGGATTTTAAAACTTAAACATTTAGACTCAACAATTTAAGGAGTTATGCATCTTATATACATACATGTATATTATATTACTGGTGTAAATTTGCTGTATTTGACTGAAAATACTTTGTTTATTTATTAGTTTGTTTGATTGGGTTTTACGTCACGCCGGTACAGTATGTCATATGAGGACGTTCCAGCTTTACTTGTGCAGGAAGACTTCAGATGCCCTTCCATGCATGCATTATTGCAGGCACGAACGGGCACCTGGGCAGAACCACTGATGTTCCGTAAGCTATCTGAATGTCTTCCTCACACTTTGTTAAAAATTACATGATTACATTTTTAACAAGTAGAATAACTACTTATAAATGTATTATTATTTTTTCTAAATATATTATATAAAATATTAAGATTATATATTATATAAATGAAAATAGTCCAAATAAAACACCATGATTAACTTTTTATTTGCGCGTCCTGTGACCGTCGCAACGACGACTGTATCGTTCAAATTTTGCTTAACTTTACTTACAGACATCAGGTGCCCCTTCGAGCATGATCTCAGAAATAAACGGAAACCTGAATAGATCCACTGATGTTCGATAAGCTAGCTGGATAGCTTCCTTACATGTAAGTCCCTTGACCGATGATAGGCAAGTGGATATTTTTATAACTAATATAATTTTAAGTTCTCGATAGTGAGAGTAAAATAATGGCCCATTTTAAAAAAATAAAAATAAACGCACAGACAAACGCCTATAAATAGCGAACATTCTATTTGACCGAATTGTGAATTGTGTTCAGAGCTTAACATTAAAAATAAAATATTATGGTGAGAAAAACATGTACTTTCGCAGTTCTGTCCAGTAAACCCGGGCTGACAGGCGCAAACGTAGCTGTTGACCCGATCTCTGCATGTACCCCCGTTCAAACATGGCATACCAACACAGTCATCGATATCTAAATGTTTATAAATATGCTATGAACATATAATGATTATAATTGCAAGTTTCTATTTTTTGTTTTTATTTTTACGTTGCACAAACACAGTAAATTTCATAAGATTACTTTCCAAGTTTACTTGATAAGAGCCATCGGCGTTCCGCCAAAATTATTGCAAGGAAAAAAACACAGAAGCTCTAAAACCAATTGTAAATAATTAATATTTTGTAAACAGACAGAACTCCTATGTAATGATCTTTTTACTCCGAAAGTTTCAAATTGATGTGTCAAAAATTGTTCCAGTTATGTTTATGACAAAACTTAAACACGAAAAATAAGCAATGACCATTTAGTCATTCACACGAAAGGAATATTTATCATTTGTTAAGCGGAAGGGTATATTATAAAATGGTGAAAATACATATACCTATTTTACAATTCTGTCCGGTATATCCGGGCTCACAGGTGCAACTGTAGCTGTTGACCCCGTCATTGCATGTGCCCCCGTTCAAACATGGCATATCAACACAGTCATCGATATCTAAATGTTTATCAACATGCTATGAATTAATAACGTTTAAAGTAACTATTTTTTTTCGTTTTCATTTTTAAGTGGCACAAAAATAGTAAATGTCAAATGGGAACATTCAGGTTTACTTGACAAGGAAGAAGACCTAAGGTTCCCCTCCGCGTATAATGGCATGCAGGAACGGGCAACCGAGTAGAGCCATCGGCGTTTCGCCAAAATTATTGCAAGAAAAATGGACAGTAGCTCTAAAACCAATTGTAAATAATTAATATACATGTATACAGAGCTCCTTTGTAATGAATTTTTGTACTTCCAAAGTGTCAAATTGATGTCACAAAAATTGTTCCTGTTATGTTCAAGACAAAACTATAACACGGAAAATAGCAAGGACCATTAACTCATTTACATTGAATAAAATATATCATTTTGTTAAGCATTGGAATGAATAATGAAATGGTGTGAAAAATATATACTTATTTCACAATTCTGTCCGCTATATCCGGGCTCACAGGTGCAAGTGTAGATGTTGACCCCGTCATTGCATGTGCCCCCGTTCAAACATGCCATAAAAACACATTCATCGATATCTAAATGTTATCAATATGCTATGAATAAATACTGTTTTAAAGTTACAATTTTTTTCGTTTTCATTTTTATGTAGCACAAACTAACCAAAAGTCACATTGCAACTTTCCAGGCTTACTTGATAAGGAAAACCTAAGGTTATTTATTTTTAATAGTATTTATTCTTCCCTTGCAAGTAACTCAAATAAATATTTCTAATTTCTTAAAATTATAATATACACCTGGAAATAAGTTAAGCACAACTGAGATGACGACTTAATTGAGCTAAGAAATAGAAATTTGATTAGTAGCCATACCAATTTAGAAATCATAAACCAGTAAAATTATGAGTTTATTCTTAACCAAATTATCGAAGCATAAGCAAATGTGTTGCTTTTTACCAACAATGTAAGTGTTTATATTAAGTAGGGTGTTTTACAAACTATTTACTGGTGGATAGTTTTTATAAATATTGACGATAAAGTAGTCTAAACTGACATTATGTAGCCAAATATGTAATAACGTCTGTAAGCGCCACCTGCCCGGATAATAACCTGAACGCTTCTCCTCATACTACCAGTAAGGCGTCTAATGTGAGGTAAATTGTGCAATTATTGATGCAGAGCTTGTTCCGGTTGTTGCAGATTGACTACAGATGAATTGCAACATTGCCCAAATAAAATTTTAATTACAATCGTGTTAATGTCAAAATGCCGGGTGTGCTTAACTTAGTTCCAGGTGTATATTTCTTATTCAACTAACGTGTCTTAAATAATGTGATGATATCTTAAGCGTAATTAATTTCAATGATGCTAGAAGCAACGACGCTTTGATATAAAAAGGCCACACAAAGTTTAATTGGTTTATGACAAAACTTTTACTTATTGTACAGTTGCTGCCAGTAAAGCCGGATCCTGAACAGTTACATTGTGTCATCCTGTCATCAAAATAACATTGACTTGGTTCAGCACATGAGCCTAATAAGAAAGAACAAATATTTAAAAAGAAAACAGTAAAGTCAAAATTAAGCAAGTTCAAAGTTGGTCATGCAGAAAAAATAAGTGTTTAACTGACACATCATTTATTATAGACTGATGCTCTTATTGGAGAGGTCATAAGACCTCTCCACAGTGATCAGACTGATTGCTGGCGGCATCCATTTTTGCGTATCTGATTTAAGTGAATGAATCTCTTTTAAAGCGTAAACTCATTAGGAGCAGTCTGCAAATATTGTTTTGCGCATGCTCCGTTTCAAAATACGACTTAACTTTAACGAAAAATAAACATCAGTGTGAACAAATCGGTACATAGAATAATCGGAATATATCATTTACGTTACTTAGTGCTACGTGGCTGTTTCATTCCGTTTTAATCTTTTAAATTGTATAAGTCGATTACCGTATTCTTTTCTGAATAGTGTTTTACTATTTTATGTTGCGATAAATACTAACAGTGAACATTATACCTACAATATCACCATGCACTATCATATGACCGAATGAACTGCGTACCAAAACTTAAACTTTTGAACCGGTATGACTAAATAACGCAACGGAGATTATTTGGCGCAAATGGTACAAATTTTACTCAAGTTTGATTTTCTTCAAATATTGTGGTTGGAGGCATGGAGCTTTATAAACTGTTCATTCCAAACTTGTCTATTCATTTGATTGATGTAAAGACATCTTAAATACCACAGAATGAGAAACATTATAGAAAAAGAAACTGATCGTTCAGTAATTATTTTTCAATCTTGTCGCTTTCTTAAAAACGTTCCAACGGAAAGTAACGAAGTTTTCCATTTGTTACCGATTTGTTTATGATTGAATCCTCACGCCCCCAAAACACATGTTATATTGTAATATATAATTATGTAACATGAATGTGTTTAAGTGGTCGAATATATCTTCAGGTGATTTTCTGAAAAGATAATGAAAATAATGCATCAGCAAGAATAAGGAATAGCCGAAAAAGTGAATAGCTTACTAAAGTATCTGACAAGCATTACTTACAAGGAATACATTTCTTTAAAGCACCTCCTTTTGCTTTTCCAAAATCTGATGACATGCATGCACTTCCGACAGGACACTGCAATAATAAACTGATTGAAGATGACCAAATTAAAATAAAAAATGATTGAAAAAGTATCAATTACTTTAAAAGATAAATAATATCCTTCAATATTTAAGTTAACCTATGCCATATTTTTAAAACTTAAACCATAATGTTTGATAGTTTTAATTCAAAGTAAACCTGTACCTTTTATTTAAATTTTAACCATACCATATGATAAAAAATAAACATCTACAAGTTAGCATATAATGAGGCATTGGTTATATCAAATATTTAATTATATGGTTTAAGTTTGTATTTTCATTTGAGAAAGTTAAATCATTAATTTTAGGCAAACGCGTATTCTAACCATATCTTACTTTGTAAAGAAATAATGTCTTTTGAATTAGTTTCACTGTTTTATTTGTTACAGTTTAGTTAACGTTTAGAAAGGTCATTTATCATGATTTTGACCAATCATTTCGTTAAATATAGATTAACGTTATTCGAGCAATATATGTTAAAGTGAAATACATGTAATGGTCTTTTACTTTTTGAAATAACGTACATACTTCAGTATTTCAGTACATATAATGTACAAATACTATTCGGTATATGTTGAGGCTTTGAGTATTAAATTTTTGAAAAAAGTGTAGTTTTTAAAATGACTTGTTAAAATATAAATTGCTTTAGTTATTAAAAAGAAGCTATTTTAGAATAAGCGATAACAAAACAAACAAACGCTTACATCAGAATGTTCGACACATTTTTCCTTTCCAGATTGAAGTAACTTGCTTGATTCTGTTGTTTTCATAACGGTTAAAACCAACACATATATCTGGTATATAAGAAACTTTGTCAATTTATTCAAACAAAATTTTATTTGGAAACATTATTATGATTGTTATGTCATATATATTGAGTTCCAAGGGTAATAACTCTAGTTCCCTATCAGCAAGCTATTAAATTGTTGCAGCTTTGGCCTCATCAAATATCATTTCAAATATTTTCTATAACATGACAGCCTATGAAAACGTCAACATTCGTAATATTTCTAATATCGCTTACAGGTTAATTAAGAATACATATGTGAACAACAAATCAGTGTAGAGAATAAGAGATTCACTTAATTGACACAAAACTAATATAATTACCAAGGTAGTATATATTAGCATCGACATGTTCGCCTGATTGGAAATATCCACACAGAAAAACAAAGGGTGCAATCAAATCAAATATTTGTCTGAAAGTACAAAACGTTTCATTATTTGAATTCGCAAAACGGATGACAAAATATACTGTTTAGTGTAAATTTTGTTATGTTGCACATAATTTCTGTCCGTATACAAATTCAGGAACTGTACATATTTATACTGTATAAAAATACAATAAGAATGCTGTATATGTTGTTGTAATAGTAAGAGGATATTTTTTCGTTTGGGTGAAAAATGGAATATATTTTCATGAAACATAAAAACATTGTGTATTGATTTTTACCATAAAAAATGTTTACGAAAACTTTAATTTGTTGCGCAGTTGCAATTTGTACAGCGCGCAGTAATACAATGACTAATTTAAAGGTGCATGATGCAGTTCAATACATGATTTTCACATCCATCTTGAGAAAACATAATTAGATAATTTCTGATAATGAAATGAATAGCTGACTACCAAATAAAACTTTATACGAGATTTGAGTCTACCCACTTTTATATTTATTTTCTTAACAAATATGTTACATGCTTGACTGATAAAGCACCATATTTAATGGGTAAAATCAAAGATCCTGTATTTTGTAATTGTAAAGTGAAATTTTATATATTATCATTATTCTAAAACAATTTTCAAACATCCGAGAATATGTTAAATATGTTCTAACAATTGTTAGACGCATAATATTTTATCATTAAAATATATGGATACATTTCTCATTAAAAATTTTGGCTTAGACTTTATAAAAATTAATTTCTAATTACTTTCCCTTATTTACATGAAATGTAAATTCGATAATATCTTTATAAATAATGCTTTTTAGAACTAACAATATTGATAAATCTTCATTTGGGCATCATAATTATAACATAAAACCATAAAAAAGTTACAGGATCTGTAAATAATGAGTGATAGTAAAATACAAAAAAAAATAACAACAGTATATTTCACAAACAATAATTCTACCTGTGCAATAAAGTTTCGGATCTGAATAAAGCAATTGAAAGTTTAGTCTCTGATAAATCATAAAGGTATATTTTTAGTTTCGAGTCGAAAATATAGTAGTTTTTTTAAACAGCTATCCTCAAATGTTGTGGCAATATCTATTACGGTATAATTAAATTAGAATTTAAAAGTAATATAGAAAACATTTTCAAATAACTTTCTTTGGTTTATTGAGGTATTTATTTTTAATGTCCGTGTGTTATAGTCTTTCCTTTACAAACAACTTGCTTTGGAGTATTGAAGAATCTTGTGTGAACAGCACTGCATCGTCAGCACATTCTTCCGAACAACCTGGTTGTTTCAACTAATACATCCCATTGTAACATTACTTTTTATGTTTTAGTTATAAACATTTAAGCTCGTTAACAGATGTTTGCGTAAATTTGATCATGACAAATTTACGCAATTTCAAAACGGACAAAAAATTTAACTTCTTAGTTTCGCACTAAATACTTTATCATTTAATTGAATTCTGAAAAGAGTGCCAAAATTATCATGCAAGTTGTTTGGAGTCAAATTATTTTTAGATGCATGTTTTTTCCTGTTATCATTATTTTTGTTTCTTTTTTTTTCATTATTTGGCATGGACATATTTCATTTAAAACTTAAAGTGATAAATAAGACAAAACAATAACAATTGTAATAAATAAGACAAGAATTTACAAGATTCTATATCGTTGGTCAGGTAAATAATTAACCAATCTCAAATAAAACCAACAAATTATCTTAACGTCCATACAATGAACTTGATTTGAGGAAAACAACAACAACAACAAAATCAACATTTCATTGCCTATTTTAAATAAAAATTCTCTATCATTAGGAAATGAGTGTATATTCGCCATATTGACCTCCCGGAAAGTAGAACATGTAGAATAATATTAAGCATTTACGAGATATAAAGGAAACTGGCGAGTAGTCGTGTCAAAAGTTACAAGCAACGTTCTTCATTTGTCACTGTAGTTTTAAATTCATTGTAAATGAATAAAATACATTTCGAAAAAAAAACATCAATGAAACAAAGACTTTTAAAGATCGTATGCTACATTTTGATGAGTCTATGTCTGAAATGAATATATGAATTAATAAATGAATAAAATAAAAGATAAAGGGCCTCACCGTGTTCACTATTTGGGCAGTTAATCCGAGTCTTGTTGTATCATCCTAGTTTCCTTTGATTTTATACTTTCATCCTTGATACACTGAATCAAATAATCAGGTGATGTTTTGTACCAATTGAAAAACAAAATTTCTAAAAACAGTGTGTGTGACGAGAATAACTATTCGTTTGTAACAGATGCGTTTTTAGACGCCTCGCTGCACGCGGCATCTTGTAGATATGCATTCGTCTATACAGCAATGGGTAAAATTTTAGACTTGATTTTGTGTACCTTCTTTTTGTTTTAACAAAATCACACTGTTTTCAAATTTTCTTATAAGAATAATTGTTTTTATGTACATCCTGTCACTGAGCTTTAAGGAATTAAAATTAACTTTTAACTGAAGTGATAGTGCCGTGTCTGAATGTCATATTTTTTTTATCATTATCTTATTTTATTTAACTAAAATAACGTGCCAATGAGCCAGTCTATAGTCGACCGTTCTAAAACTTAACATTTGAGAGAGGTAACGCCTGAGACAGTGTCACTCACTGCATGGCTCCGCCTCTGTTTAAGTACGGCTCCGCCTTTAAATTGTCACCAAATTTAATATGATGCTGACTCTGTTTGCTAGCATTTAGTCTTCGTTGACGGAGGTAAGTAAACAAGGACAACTATAATCAATATCACTTCCCTGCAACATTAGGACGAATCATCAAATTCCAAGTTACAAAGCCTAAACCACGCCTACTATCAGTGAGGCGTTTCTCTCTCAATCGTAAAGAAAGTAGGCTTAGCTCACACACCCGTGAGGCAAATATGCAATCTTGTGTTCAATCAATTAGTTTAATCTAACAATACGAAACTAAGAATTGATTATATTTAACAATTTATTCATAGCTATTCTTTGAAATTACATACATATTTCTGCCATGTGTAAAATAACAGAACAGTTCGTCCTAAAAATCATTCGAAAATTATGCAATTCGCATCAATATTTAAATTGACATATTCTCGGCGGTACGAAGATATTTTTTACCTCTATCTTTGTCTTGAATTTATTTGAAGTATACCAATCATTTCAATTTTACTTGTTATCCAATTTATTTGGCTTCGACAAGACCTTTCAATCTTTGTCGCAACAGATTAACATTTCAGAATTTCAGACAAGGCATTACTTTGGGAATTCATGCATAAGGTTCTACATTTTCACAAAAATATGCAACGTTATTATTATACAACGAGCACATACCAAAGACATGGAGAAAAAATTTGACTAGTGTATGCTTCGGATATTCAACTGTAATAGAGAACGATTTTCAAGGCTGATTTTGTGCATTACCTGTTCACATCATTAGGCGGCGTCTTTGATGTGCAGCATTGACATTTAACTTGTATATTACTTAGGATTGTCAAACTTGAAAACAAGTGAAATGTAATGATACTAAGAAATTCAATATGCACTTTTGAAAAACTCACTCAACTGTTACAATATGAAGGCCATATCTAATCATTTGTGATGTTTTTATTGTAAATGAGAATTTCAGTCAAAACAACGCTTGTCACCAGACACTGTTGTAACCTGACATATTTTTTCTTGTGTTGTTGCAAAATATTATATAACAATGAATTACTATTTCTTTTTAAAATTGCAGTCATTTTTAGATGACTGAAATTGGTCTTATACCATATTTACCGTGGTGTTTTTTGTTTGTTTGTTTTTGTTTCTTTTATATATATATAAACAACCTTTATTGCCTTATCAAATTTAATGAATTAGCTTGCACTATTAATTGAACTATATATTGGATAATAAAAATCAATAAAAACGTGTAAAGTAAGTTAAAGTACATATACTGTCAGGGTCCAGTGGGGCCGGAACTAAGAAATAACTTCAAATATGGTTCAAATCCTAGTCCATGCAAGGCGTCTTAAGCAATCAAGCTTAAGGAGCCAGACCCCAACACCCTTAATAACCTAAGTGTGATAAATGAGAGAAATGAGGGATGAAGTAAAAGCCATATCATGTTAAGTTTCAACAATATAATTGAAAAAATATCTTCAAAAAAAAAAATGTGTACATATAAATTTCATAAATCGTTTATATCTGTGTCTGTAATCTGTGACTTCTTATAGACATCAGCTTCATATATGTTGGTCAAGATCTAGGTCATCATTATACTGGATAAAATATATATAAGCACATAGATAAGCATAACTCATCTAAACTGCGCAGACATGAGAGTGTGATGAGTAAAATACTCATATATCACTGCTCAAACATAAGCACATGCAAAAGAGAGTGAGATGATATATATAAGCTCATATACAACTGCTCTTACACTAAAAGCCATGCAGAGACATACACAGTGAGAGTGAGATAAGTGAGACACTTATATACCACTGCTCACACATTAAAAGCAACTTTAAGCAGGAACACAAGCATAAATCTCTTCTTGATTTCAGTATCAAATATAACATTCTTTAAGTAGACTTATAAATTACAGGAAGGACTGAGACATGAGCATAACTCATGAATGATTTCCATTCCAAAAACCCTAATTAATATATATTTAGATGAAAATTATCTCTTCTAATACAGCTTATGAAGTTTTATCAAATTTTCAGCATGAACATCAACTGAACTGTCAAACTGTAAAAGATTTCTTGACTAAAATGGCTTCTTGTCCAACTCGTTCCTTTCTGCATGTACATTCTTCTCTCTATCTTCATAAAAAAAATATAACACGTGCAAAATGTAAACAATAACAAACGCCATCCACGCCCTGGATTCTGATTGGTCAGCCGCATCACACAAAAAAATAGTCCCTAATTGAGATCAAAACTTCTAAGAAAATATGAAGGTCATCGGCCATCTTTAGCGTCCGTCAGCATCTTCTTCTAAAACAAAATAAAAATGAACAAGAAACAACTTAACTGAACCATGGAACTTCCAACTGGTGAATCCAAACATCGAACGCCATCCTTACTTTCACTTTCGTCTGTATCCGGTTACACAGGCAGTCAAGAAACAACAAAAATTAGTCTGAAATTTCTAGAAATCACTCTCGTGGAATAACCCTAACAATTTTTAGGCGTGCAAGAGGTCGATCAAGGGCGCGCTCGAGCTTTTATATCATACGATGCTGGAATTGCAGGAAAGCTCTGCAGGAATCGTTGGAAACTGGAAGGTCGCTGTTCCGCCATTCCTCGATAAAATTTTAATGAGCCAAATCTAAATTAAACTTGCATGTACATTACTCAAAGACCATGTTGCTGTTTCTAAAATAAATCTTCCTACATATATATAGCAAAAATAACAATAGACAATGTATGAAATAATATTTAAAGCCTGCATGATAAGTTTTACCGATTCCCGGAAGGGGTATTTCATTAACGGAATGTCGTAAACTCCAACAATTTCAACCAAGACACCCGCAAATCTTACGAAGAGCGATGAATATTAATTACACAGATAAAACAGAATTTCTAAGTGTTGACAGTGTACAATTACACCCCAGGTATCTTCAATGACCGGTAATTGATTGAATTAAACCTGTACTTTAATGTAGAACCAAGTAATTATGATATAATTTCTGTGACTGACAGCTTGCATGCCATATTTTCGGATAGGGCTGGATTCGGACTGTATAAGATAGTTGATCAAAATTTATCATTTCTCGTCTTTGTGATGACATCATGGGCCCCACATCTACCCCCTGCTAGAAATGTTTATTATAACCTTATAATCAAACATTTATAAAAGATATTAAATCAATAATACAAGCAGATTCTCATGATTTATTGATTCCTTTATAACAATTCAATGAACTTTCAATGCCTCGACCTCGATCTGTCCCTCCTCCCCTGTGTCTTACGCTCCTCCCGGTCCCTCTGTCGATCCTGCTCCCTCCTGAATGTTAACACGCTTTGCAATTACACAGAGCTTGTATAATTTTTGCAATTTAGGACACACCCCAGGGAACCTAGATTCATGAAAGTACCATGCACAGTCTCCTATCTTGTATTTATTTTCTGAAAGTTTAACATCGTAGCTGTACTTGTTTCGAAGTGATGCCTTACCAAGATTCTGTCTAGCTAACTGATGTGCCACATACATTCTCTGGCGCAAATTTTCTGCATACTCACCATAAGATGTTGCAGACTTACCATCGTCATAAATGTTTCTTGACAATTCTGCCGGGATTCGAACCTGACGACCTAGCATTAACATGTTTGGAGTCATACCAGTAGAGCTATGTGGCGTAGCCCTATATGCAGCAGCAAGACATCCTAAGTTTAAGTCCCAATCTGTTTGTTCCCCTTTAAGATAAGCCTTAATCATGCGAACTAGTACGGCATTAAATCTCTCAGCTTGACCATTACATTTTGGATTCTTGACCGAGGTCCGAGTCTTGCGAACCTCCATTAAAGTACAAAGTTCAGCAAAAATTTTACTCTCAAAGTTACTCCCAAGGTCACTATGTAAGGAAATTGGTGACCCATAACGTGAAATAACCTCATTTAAAATAACATTAGCTGTAGTCTTGGCTGTCTGGTCAGGGACAGCAAATATCTCAACCCATTTTGAAAAATGATCTGTAACAACTAATATAAACCTGTTGCCTCGAGGCGTCAAAGGAAAAGGACCCAAAATATCTGTAGCTAAACATTCCATAACTCCACCCACAGTTAAATTTCCCAAAGGTGCTTTAGCTTTCCTGGCTGGACGTTTATTGGATTCACAAATATCACACTTGAGTACCCAATTGTTTGCATCTTCCTTCATTTCAAACCAATAATACTTCATTTTTAATTTCTGATAGGTCTTTTTACACCCAAAATGTCCACCTAAAACTGCACCATGAACTTCATGTAAGACTTCATTCTTCAAAGCCCTAGGAACTAAAATTTGCAATACAGGTTCGCTACCATTCTTAGGACAAAATTGCTTATAGAGTATACCATCAATAATCTCTAGTGAAGCCCACAGCAACCAATAATGTTTAGTTGCTGGCCCAGTAATTGATATCTCTTTTAAAGGTGGTCTTTCAGTAGGGTTTAAAATCTTAGCATCATATATAGGTTTGATATCTATATCAGTAGCCTGTAGATTTACAATATCTGTGTTTGACCTTTGTTGAAGAATTGTACCTTTGTT